GAAGTGGGTACTTGCACTTTTAATTTCAAGATTGTAGTTGTTTGACTTATTTCACATTTTAAATTAATGACTTATTGACTACATTTATATTTCGAGATACACTAGTGTATATGAGAAATATTATGAATTTATTACTAAGTATCTTGAAAAGGGAAAATGCTTCAATGCAATGAATGGGTAGACATCATAGGATATTATATATATATATATATATATATATATATATATATATATTCAAAAAAATCTATTTTTAATATTTATAAATAGACCCCTATAACTTTTAATATTTGTAAATACACCCCCATAACTTTTAATATTTATAAATATGGCCCCGTATCCGTATCCTACTTTTTTTGGTTTTGACGTATCCCCGTACCCGTTTCCGCGTTTCCGCGTACCGGTATCGGTGCTACATATAGGTGGCATGATGCCATGTATTTTGTGCGTCGCGGGAACAGTTAATCACCAAGACACAGCCCCCCCCCCCCCCCCCCCCCGTATCTAACCCGTGCATTATAAATTTTAAAGGTTATTTGTGATTTTTTGAGTTAAGAATGTTAATAAATGATAGATAAGTTTTAAAAAAACATAATACATGTTTAATAAAACACGGAATGACATTTATAACGGGGTAAGGAATACAAATACACAACATTTATTACTTCCTCCGTCCCTTAAAACTGTGTCCAATTTTCCTTTTTGTTATATATTCTAGTAAATTTGCAATTTCTCTTTTAAGTACAAAATTTTTGACAGTACTCCCTTTTGAGTGTTGTCACTGTTTCATATCAATATTTTCACTCCTCATCGCATAGTGACTCTTGTCACAGTAACATAGTGTCATATAGGGGTGGTTCAGTAAGGTATATGGAATATTTTCTCTCATACCTTTGTCGTACCAACACTTTACGTATACAAAATTCATATACCGTTACCTTACCGAAATTTAGGTATACCAAGGTTTTGGTGCGATAACAGTATGTTATTGGTAAATTATCATGCATGTATCTCAATACATGATACTGGTTTTAAAGTTAGCGTAGTTATATGATACTCCTTCCGAATTTAAATGTTCCCTACACTTTTTTTTTTGGGATGTATTTAAAAGTTCCTTACACTTCTATTTTTGGTAAGTTTATCCTTTATAAAATACTCAAATACTCTTACTTTATCTACTTTTTATCTTCTCTTTCATATTTTTACACAATCTCTCCTACTTATTCTACAATATTCGCTACTCTTACTATTCTATTCTAAAATATTTTGCCAAAAGCAAATGTAAGGAACATGTAAATACGGAGGGAGTACTGTTTTTAGTACATGGGCTTAGATGACGGTTTCGAAATAGTAAGAGGGAACATATAAATACGGAGGGAGTACTGTTTTGAGTTTGTTGGTGCACCAACAAGCTGAAAAACACAGAAAATAGATCTCGTATATATCAATTGTTTTGGTAGTGCCGTAGTGGTGATTAAGAATTAAGAGTGTAACCATGATGTGAGTTTTCTCGCACTTAAAAAGATTGTAATATAATGGCGTAAGTACGAGTATCGTCTCCACAGGAACGGACAAAAGGGAATTATAGATTAATTAAATTCAACGAAAAAAATAAATAAAATAAAAGCGTCGTGCGAGATTGATTGGTTGGAAAATTAAACTGCAAATAAAACGATTAAACTAGGGGTTGTTTCTAATTAATGACAAATGGAACATGAATTGATTCCGGGGTAACCAGATTTCTGGCAGATCAGGCTTAACTACATGAAATTAATTTAATTGAGCCTAGCTAATCATTACCAAGTTCTTACCGCTCTCGCGGTGTAGAGTACAATAATTTAGTGGACCAGGCTGATCTCTCACGCGACAGGATCCTAAATTATTGTCAAGACGAGCGAGCTTACGGCCCCTTAATCACTACTAATCTCTTAGCGAACGATTAAGTGTGCGTGAAGGTGTCTTAGAATAAATTAGATCTCTCTTAACTTATTCTACAAACAATTGTAATTCTAGCCGCGATTCTAGGTTACAAAAGATATCAGTTAAATTATTCAAACACAAATTAAACGGCATTCATGCAATTAATCCATCATGAATTTAGCCATACATGATGATTAACCCCTTCATCAACCCCAAATCCTAATTAAAACTACTCGCAATTCATAATTGAAGAATCAACGGAATTAGGATGAATAGAAATAATTGACATTATTTAAAAAAGATGGAACTTACAAATAATCTCAGGGTCTTGAAGAACAAAGCGGAAAAATATGCAAGAATTCGTCCCTAGGCCTCTCTCTAAATCCCCCTGAAAACGGGGCTTTACAGGCTGTTTAAATAGAAAAACCGGGTCAAATTTGAGATGAATTGGGATTTCCGGAGGCAGGCATGGTGCCAGGCACGATCGTGCCTTCTGTCACGCCCCGGACCTCCCCGGACACGTCAACAACCCGCCGTACAATACGAATAGTCAACCGCAGTCCAACACATTCATATTATACCAGGCGTCTTGAATATCATTCACACACATAACATCCATAAACAAACATAATAAGTAATTCATAACGCAGCGGAAAACATTGTTAAAACAAAAGAGCCACACAGGGCTATTCATGAGCACGCAGGCTCTATAGTAAAATATCCATGAGCAAATTCATTAATGTTTCAAATAGAATGGAGGAAGCACAAACCAAGTCTTCTCTCCGAGGGATCACTCGATCAACGAGCACAGGATGCAAGCTCTAGCCTCAACCTGAAATGGTGGTGGGACGCCCCCGAAGGGGTCAGTACTCTATACGGCTATAAAGTACTGGTGTGGCAAGCATCTAATAGATATACAACAAGTATTTCAAACAAAAGACCCTCAAATAGGGTGATAGTACATTATGATTTGTAACCCTAAGTTACCCTGTTTGAAAATATACTTACTTTATATAAAAGTCAAGTAGTCGGCCCGTGGGCCCATGTTCATTTACAAATCACCATTCTCATTCCCCGTGGCTATAAGCCACGACAACTCATAGAGTCCAACCCTAACACATGACATTGTATTCTAGAGCTCGGCTCTACCACATCACCATACAATTCATGTCACTCGGGTCAATTTCCTTACCTTGCGTTCTAGAGCTCGGCTCTACCACATCACCACGCAAGCCCTAGAGCTCGGCTCTAGCTATTCAATACATAGACTACAAGTCTACCCCCTTACCATGCATCCTAGAGCTCGGCTCTATCACATCACCATGCATGAAGGTCCAATTCTTAAGCAACCCTATGCCTAGAATTGACATATCAATGAACTACCATGGGTCATCCTTAAAGACTTCCCACCACTTAACCTTAGTTTCATACTAAGTCATCATATACACTTAAAGTATACTCAAGTGCATTTCCTACAATCCAATCCCTAGGATCAATTCCATCAACAATTTCCAATAATCACTAACTAGTATTTTCATACTATTAAGATTATTGTTATCATACAAATATGCTCATTATTTGTAATCCTCTACATATTAATAATTATGTAGCAGCAACTTTAGTATTCAATCTCAATACATAAACATTCATTTATATATCCACATAACTCATACATGAGTAAAATGCCTATTTCACTAAATAGTTCATTTATAACTCATTTAATCTCATTTTATTCATACATTCTCAAATCATTTCCAATTTCATTCTTTGGCAACTATGTCCATATTTCATCATTATATAATCATCATAATCCATAAAAAAAACTATGATTTAGGCATTTAGGTAATCCCATGCTTAACCTACAAGTTGTAAGCAATTAGATGTCAATCCTCACCTCAATTGAGCTTTAAACTCTCCCTCCTTGGTCCAATGGTCAAAGCTTTGGTCAAGGTGGATTTGGAACTGATTCCTTGCTCAAATATGAGTGTTAAACAGCCTCCTCAAAGTGCTAGTCCAACCCCCAAATCGTTGATACGAAAACAGCCCCTAGAATGGGTGTTTTCCGGCTAACTCGATTCCTAGTTTCTCCAAAGTTACTCTAGGTTAGTATCCAACCTTTACATCAATAAAATAACTTTACAAGGACATATTATACACTTGGAGTAGGTTATAATAGTTCCACAAGTCGATCATATCATTAGGGAAAAGAAAGGAAAGGTTTTGGGGTCAAAACTCACTTAGGTGAGCAAATCCGTTTCTGCAAGGTCGTGTTTTGCTCGGACGATTTGGAAGCCTTCCTCTACTCCGATGGATTCAAATAAGACCTTCACGGATTCCTAGTCTTGAGAGCTTTCCTTTGGTATATAATACGCCTTATTTGGATGTGTATAACTCGAGATATGAAGCAAACAAGTAACCATTGCACTGGAGGAAAAATCTGCGGGCAGTTTGCTTTCTCCTTGCTCTCTTAGGTTGTGTGGCTCTCTTCTTCTCTCTTATCTTGGGGAGTTCGAATGAGAGCTGGGGAAGTGTTATCTTGGCCTTAACTTAGCCTCCAAAGTAAAAGGATAGGAGTGGGTTGGCATGTGGGATGATGGAGCAAGATACCTTCAATAAAAAAAAAATTGGGAGAGGGTCCATTTGGTTCACAAACATGTCTTGTTCAGCCCCCCTCTCTTTTTGTCCACCCCAACCAAGGATTTTAACTCATTCTCTTTATTTTTCAGGTGCCAATAAGGTGTGGGGTGCTCCCCAAGTGATCACAATCAATTTGGGGTCCAAAACATCTACCAATACTTCCAAAAATGGGAAGATGGGTCCTATTGTTTTATCTTTTGTCAAAAGATGTCTTTTTGTACTCATCCTAATTTATTTAGAACAAGTCAACTTACTACATCACATTATTGATCTCCAACATGTGTAGGCTCATCTCAATAATTTATATGATGAATATTATAGAAGAAAAACCCTACTCCCATTATTTAGCTCAATAATGCCAAAGATGGGGCTATAGGCATTTGTATTCTTCTCTAATTATTCTATCACTTATTTTGACATTTGTCATACATATTATTTGGATACTAGCCGTGTGGTCACTCCCGAGTGGGTCTAGGACGCTATTCTCGAATACTTGCTATTTTTAGCAGGTTGAGCCCAAAGTAATGTTTGGGCCGCCCGGCCTTCCTCAAATTGTCTTGAAATGTTATGTATCACTATTTAGATAATGTTGGGCTCTTTTATTTATTAATAAGTCCCAAATAGTATTTGTATGTCCGACACTAATATACGAGTTCGAACGGTACAATAATCGATCATTAATTACGAAAAACATTAATCGTTTTACAATTGTTTGGGAATCAAAAATTCAATACATAAACTTTGAATTTTTAAATCGAATTTTCAAGGACGTTCGGGTGCGGTGTCACACCTTCAATCGTGCCTCCGGAGAAAAAACGCGTGTTTTGGGCAGGCACGATCGTGCCTGGAGGGAGGCACGATCGTGCCTGGCTGGCAGTAGCTCCGCGGTTCTTTCTTTTCACGCACGATCGTGCCTAACTTTGAGGGCACAATCGTGCCTACGTAACTTCCGAATTTGACAACGTTTTCTTCACAAAATGGGATTTAATTCATCCAATCAATAGATATGATCAAAATGGTGGAAGGTCACATTCTGAAATCGCAACAGGGATCATCTGACTTCATCGTCTGTTTTCACCTTCTTCCTCTCAGATTCTCTTAAAGGTGTCTTCTTATTCTTTGTAGCTCTTAAAGTTGGCTTTCATATGCAACTTGAATAATGTTCTTTGGATTCTTCTACAAATGGATATGCTTGAGTGATTGACAGAAGGTCATCCTGATCGTCGTTTTCAAGCTTCATTCATCTTCTTTTGATCCCATAGCCAATCCTAGAGTTCTTTTGTCATCAAATCTTCATCGTGAACCTTCCGGTGACATCCAAATCTCTCAATCCACTCTCGAATGCATCTCGAATAATCCCGATTGCTCCTCAAGCGCCGGTGCTGAACTCTAAATTCCTTATTTTGACTCCAAATGACACAAAACTCGAACCAATGCCTGGTAAACATAACTTGAGCTAAAATTGAGACTTGTAACACATTAAAGCTAGAAAAACCATCAAAAGCCGATCCGAACACACATCAAATGTGTGTCTAAATACGGACTTATCAAACCACTTACTTTAAGGATTTGTCTATAGCCTTCATTTACCCCGCTAGGATTTGTCTATAGCCTTCTACTAAACTGGTTTACCCCCGCTAGGGTTCCCATTCTTCTTTCAACCCACGCTCGTGATCTTATTTGTCTTCTGCTGTGCAGAAGGTGTTCGCCATCAACGAGTAAGGGGAAGAACTGGTTTACCCCGCTAGGGTTCCCATTCTTCGTTCAACCCACGCTCGTGATCTTACTTGTCTTCTGCTATGCAAAAGATGTTCGCCATCAACGAGTAAGGGGAAGAACTGGTTTACCCCCGCTAGGGTTCCCACGTCTCGGGTTCTATGCTCGTCCCCCTCTATCATTTTTTTTTGTGGCTCGCTTGCTCTTTTTTGTGTGGCTCGCATGCTCCTTTTTTTTTCAGGGGGAAATAGTGAAATACGTTCGTCGGTTCCAAGTGGTGTCAAGTCTAATGGTGGTGGGATACCGAACCGACGAACCGAATATGATGACGAGGCGATGTAATAGTTTTATGACATTATTCAGTTCCGAAAGATGTCATTAAGCATCAACAAGTTACTAATGATCATTAAGTTAGTCAACATTCTAACCAAAGCGGTTTAGTTCTTCAGCATAGATCTTCTTGGTCTGCAAAACTTCCTGCTTCAAGGACTCAGATGCCATTCTCAGTGCCTGATACAAATCTTCACTGAGATGTAGGCATGATAGTTATTTAGTAATGACAAGGCATAAGATTAAAGATTAATGGAAACCTGTAAAGATCTAAACTGAGATTCTATGAAGACTTTATAGCCATGTTCTTTCTTTTGCCATGTCAGAAACTTTGATTCTGAAAAGGCTTCGAGCTCTTCCACCTTCTTCCTTGAATCACTTAGAAGACACTCAAGTTCCATTATCTTCTTCCCTAACTCAATTCTAGTTTTTTCTGTTTGTGATTCTAGCTGCAAGCATTTCTCTTCATGTTTCTTTTTGGTTAACTCCAAATCATGGTTTAGTGAAGAAATCTTCATCTCATAATTATCTTTATCTTTCTTCAAATCACTGATTTCTTGCTGTCTACGTTTGTCCTTCTCTTCAAAGTCAACCTTCTCAATCTGTAGTACAAAAATAAAGTGGAGTATCAAAGGAAGCCCATCCAGGCTATGAAAGAAAATATCTTTCTACATGGTAAGCTAGCTCTCATAACTAAAAATTATAGAAGAATGAACCAACCAAAAAGATTAAGAAAGTGCATTTTAAGTGCACACAATGAAATCAAAAGTTATGCAGCACTCATGTTCATGATTAATAATACCTCGTGTTCTTCAGCAGTTCCTGTTCTAAGGGTCTCCAAAACCCTTTCTCTTAATTGATACTTTACTTCGAGAGACTTGTAGAGGCCAGGCTATTTTGCTGCATGTGAGAGTTGTCAACATTTAATAGATCAGTAAAGCCGATTCTGTATTCCAAGACTAAATGATTAATTGTCCAAAGCACACATACCTTTTTCAAATTTTCTGATTGTTTTGAAAATCGAAGCTCAATTTCTTGCAGAACTAGCTTTAGCAGTGATGTTGCAGACTGAAAATATAGGGGAAATAAGATTGGTGAGTGATTTAACTTTAAAAATTATCTCCCTCACTCCCACACACAAACTTGACTGGGAAACCGATGTGATTTACCATACCTGAGGAATATCTCCATTCTTTCTCTCTATGTTTTCATCGAGAATGCAATTTCACAGCACTGAATAATGACCGGGTAGAGGAAGCCTGAACATTGAAAATAGTAGAGATAAGAGCAATCACATATCATTAAATACACAAATTGATTTGAGAAGTCATAAAACAGGAAATAACGGCCTTTCAAGATTGTTGCAACTTGCAAGACATTAGGCAGTGACTGAAGACTAATCCTGGCCTAGGGAGGTACTTTTACACCTATGCATTTAAGTATTTACTCCAAATCACCAACCCCAAGCGCCCCCATGCCCCGACCCGACAAGACTTTTGGGAGGATGTAAGTCACGGTGACTCAGTCAGTAGAGTGGCAGTAGGCCCATACACCCGTGCGCAGCAGAGGCCCAGTCTTATTTCAGGTTCTGTGACCTCCACCCGGTCGCTGTGGGGATTCGAACCTTGGTCATTGTTCCAAATTTCCCACCACTCAACCAACTGAGCTACCCGTGCGGGTTACTTCATTAACTCTGATATCTTGTAGGCTGGGATGTCTGCACATCCAACCTTCAAGTGGAGTACATCAGGGATACTACTCACAGCGTGATTATTTGATGCAGATAGTTCTAAGAGAAAACAAAAACAAACAAGTAAGGAAAGTGTACTATAGACAGTTGCACGACATTTGAACAGAAACCAACATTTACCAACTTAACTTGGAATAAATCACTCCTTTATAAAGACAAGGTGTCATTTGGTATAATTTCTGTCTTCTTTTTTCAAAGACTGAAACAAGATACTCCCTCCATATTCTATTGTCGGCTACAATAGGGTTTGGCACAATAATTAAGGGAAAAATAGTAGAGGTAGTGAATAGTGTAGAAAATGTAGGAGAGGTGGAAAAGTATAAAAGAGAATATGAAAAGTAGAAAAAGTAACGATATTTGAGTATTTTTTAAAGTGAAAACATACCAAAAAGGAAAAGCGTAGCAAACCAAAAAAATTCCCAAAGGAAAGGCACCAAACTAAAGAATACGGTAGTATTGCGTTTCCTAATATTGAATGAATATTATTTGAAACAAAGTCACAAAGATCTATTGTATCGTTTTTCAAATAAAAAACGACACTCACTATAAGACTTAGAATTTTATAGAAAGTAATACTAAAGGTTTGACAACTTTGAACTTTTGGTCAAATGTGTACTACGTTGGCCAAAAATAAATTTTATACAAAAAGATACTATGTATATATAACATGAAAGTAATACGTAGTATATAAATGTTCTTTGTGACAAACGCCCTCATTAAATTAAAAAAAAAAAAATTAATTTCATAAAAACTATGTTCCATATCTAAAATAAACTTATAAGCCTGAATGAGGGTTATATCGTTTTGGGAACCTTCCGGGTTAAAAAAGAAAAAAAAAGGGTTATATTGTTTTGGGAATTAAAAAAGTGTTGGTGGTAACATTGTGCTCAATACAGTTGTACATTATGCTTTTAACTTTGAACAAGAACATGATACCGAATAACCTTCTGCTACCGGCGCCTTACCCTATCACTCCGGTCTCCCGTTAGTTCCCTAATCTATTACCATACCCAGATTACCCCGATATACTAATTCTCTTTGACTTATTGGTTTTCACCCCCCTTTAATCTCCTGGTTTGTTGAAAAGGATGAAATCTATTACCATACCCAGATTACCGGATATAGTACTCTTCTAGGTGAGAAGAGTTATCACGCTCGTGGGAGACAAATAGAACGGTAAAAACGGCGAAAGACGATGCAATTGTTAAGCTAGATGCCTTACCTTCACAACTTCCCAACATTTCTTGTATGTCACGACTGATTTAATGCAACCAAATTGCATAGTTTGGTTCTCAAATTCACAAAATTCCGGTCAAAACATCCTCATGAATTTCCCACCAATGCTATGGATTATGAGAATGAGGGTAAGGTTTTGCTGATAATGAATAGATGGTATTAAATTAGAAGCAAGTGTGGAGTTAGCTTCACTAAGATGGTATTAATCTGAATGTTCGATCATGTTTAATTGGTTGGTGTAAATTAGCTTAACTAAGATTTCTTGTAATATTTGAGTGTGTGTATGAACCTAATTTTGGAGGTCAAACAAAAATTCGTGAATCATACTAGGTGTTTGTGAATATGTCTTAATGAGATTTTAGAATACATTTATGTTTCATGTATATGGACATGAAAAATATAATTATCCAATGATTAAACAAATAAATGAGTTAGGACAAGGCAGTGCCGATCCTACCTAAACTCAAGCCCGAGTCGAACTTCGTAAAAAGGCCCCTATAAATTAAAATTTTATGTAGTATAATTTTTTATAGTTAAAGACGTAACATCACAAAATAGCTATACTAATGAAATAAAATTCTTACAATAAAAATACCAATTGTATTAAAAGTAACTAATTAAGTACAACCCGTCGAACTATTTTAGCAGCAAAAGATTAATCAAGTCGGCATAATTGAGGTGTTCAATAAATTCCTTCTCAATTGATAACATAGCTAATCCATTAAACCTTTTTTGAGATATGGTTGATCGCAAAAAATGTCTTTATCAACTTAAGTTTTGAGAAATTTCTTTCTGCACTGGCTACTGTAACAGGTGTTGTCAACAAAATTATGTATGCGATGTATGCTTTTGTATCCTTTTCCTAACCTCATTTGCCAACATTTGTATCAATTCATTTTGAATCGTTCCTCCAAGATATGTAACATAAGTCTCGTGATCCTTGATACGACGTAAGTGTTCTAACGAGTCAAACTCAAGATAAACAAAACACAATTTACTGAAATCATATATATGACAATATTAGTTTTTTGTGACATATCCTAATATTAGTTAAACAAATGTGCTAAATAATGCATTCTTGTCACTAAATTAGAGAACATAACCTACTTAAAATGTTTTAATATTAAATATAAAAAAACTGAAATTGTTTAATTATGCATCTCAACTCGTTTGAATATTCAAAATTAAGTTCACACTTAATTTTCTAAATGTATGTGTCAAGCAATATGATCTCAAAACAACCCTAGAACATTTATATTCATCTTCGATTAAGACAAAACAAGAGTTTTTCATTGTGTCCAAAACAAATTCAAAATGGGTCCATAAACTCTCTTACTTTATAATCTCAATTCTCAAAAGTCTGAAAGTTGCAAACTCAAAAGCTATTCACAAAAAACTGAAAATCAAAAGGCATGTCTTTTACCCGGCGCACCGCCTTGCGGTCTGGTAACCTAGTTTGACTGTTACTCTTCTAACTTCGTAAGTCAATTTGTCAGCTATTTCACCTTTTAAACGCAACAGCGATAGAATCAAACAAAGGCATGTCTTTTATATTTTAAAAATACATATATATAATAGGAAAATGGCTAAAATATTGGGCCCCTAAATTTTTGACATTTTTGGGGCCCTGAGGCCCATGCCTTAGTGGCCTCACAGTAAGCACGGCCCCTGGGACAAGGAATGCTATCCTATATAATAACTAACAATCTATTCTATTAAATCTTATAATCTAAAAAAGTAGAAGCCGAAACAACCAACAAAGTACATTGTATGTTATTGAGGAGCTAATTTCAGTTTCTTTAGGTGGCATATGTATATAAACTCTATGAGGTGAAGTTTACTTTTTACAATAATTGTAATAATAATAATTATTATTATTATTATAATAATTCCACCCTGCAGTCTATGTCTTTACATTTCCTTTACTACAGCAGATACACCGCCTGTGAAGCTTTCTTGACCTTTTACATACAAGCACTTTAATTATAATTAAAGCATGGATGATAACCCTGCATCCTCACATACTATTTTAGTATTTTGTTATTCTGATATAGGATTTTCCATTCACTACGTCGTACACGTACTAATGAAAGTTGGATCGTGTATCTGTAATGGTCATTTTGTATTCGATGCATTTGAAGGCTAGCTTATGCCTTGAATTATTATCATTATACCTTGTGCACATGATGATGTTTATAGCTTCAGAGAATAATCGCCCGGTATCTTTTTGGGCAACAATTTCAGTTTTAGCCATTTTTCATTATCTTAAAATTGAGTTTTAGTTTAGTTTAGTGGCTGGTAAATAAAAGATAATATACATCAACGTGCATAGGTGAATAAGCAGTTCTATTAGGGATTTAGGGTGTAAACCCTTTAATCTTTTAGGATACCTTATCACACCCCCTTAAAAAGTAAACCCTTTAATGAAAAACTGCATGGTATGTTATTGAGGAATGAGGAGCTGAATTTTCTGTTCCTTTAGATGGCACGTATAAAGGAACAAAGTACATGGTATGTTATTGAGGAGCTGAATGTTCTGTTTTTTTTTTTTCTAAACACAAATTCGCTAAGATACTGATTAAATATATGACCATAAAATTTGCTATTTTATTGATGTTTCTTTAAATCTTAGCTTAGTGCCTTTTTTCTTATCTGCATTATCCACACATATTTAGGACATGGCTTTTATCTTCCTCTCTTTTGAGTGACTCTTTAATTTTCTGTAAGGAGGCTATATTGCTTAAATGGTTGGACTTCCTCCATTCAAACTGGGTTTTCAAAACACTGATATTTACATTTTAATGAGATAAAATTGCCCTAGATGTTAAAAACTGAGGGAGTATACATTTATTTTGCTATGAATGCTACCAGTTAGAGCGCTTTGCTGCTTGTACTTAGGTATATGTAAAGTGGTAAAAAGCTGCAATAAAATACTCTAAAATTTAGTACTTATCTCACTTCTTTCCAAATTAGTTATGAGTTTATTATGCCTTGCTGAAAGGGATTTCTCCAGAAACAATAGAAAGGTGAGGTATTAGAAGCTGAAAACTACACTTTAGGTCCAAATTGTCCTCCCCCTCTTCACAGGAGAAAAAGTAAAGGGAAAATAAGATTTTTCCATTCGTGTTGTTCTCCTTGATGGTGAAACTGGACGTGTTTGTGACATCAGGTCCAGAATCCTCAGCCAAACTAGACATTGTTTCCCTAGAAGGAGATTTCAACTACAAAGCTGATGAAGGGTGGAGCCACTAAGAGTTTGAGTCTCACATAGTGAAAGAACATAAAGAAGGTAAGAGGCCACTTCTTACTGGGGGACCTGGACCTCATACCTGCAAGTGACCTTAAAGGAAGGGTTAGGCATTGTTGCTGAATTGACTTTCACCGACAACTCTAGCTGGATTAGGAGTAGAAAGTTCAGATTAGGCTGAAAGCTTCACCAAGTTGGCTTTGTGAGAGCATTCG